AAAAAATAGCGAAAAATCCAAAACCCAATTTGTTAATAACAGACGAGACGACAAAAAAAAAAAAAAAAAATTAATAGAAAATGAAAAAGTATACGTATAGAACAAGAATTGAAACGAGCGAAAATAATAAGAGAACTTACAATATTATCAAATGAAACACTACACCGTCGATCAACGGCGATAATGTTATGCACTTAATTAAACACGCTTGTTTATTAATAAGTAATAAAATCAACCACCGTAGTAACAATATAGTATATAGGTAGTGTATATTATTATATTACACTGCACAGTGGCGCACAGTGGAGGGTTCCGCAGGGGGTAGCGACTGCTATCCCGAGATCGTAAGCGGGTAGAGAGAAAAAAAAAAAAAAAAGCAAACGCGAATAAATTATTTTAAAAACCGTGGAGAAATCGATTGTTGTACAGATCGGCTTTATTGGCAGGGGTGTATATGGGATTCGAGTCGATTTTCGTTTGCAATCGCGTAACTTACCAACGATTAAAACAGTTTGGGTCACCGCGACGGTATACCTATACTGCAGGGTGATTTTTTTGTATTACGAACCAGCGGTTTTCCCGGGGGATTTTAATAAAGCTCACCCGATTCCATAATGATTAAAAAAAAAAAAACAGAAATCAAATTCACTTGAGATCCTCCGAGAAAATCGCCGGTTTATGGTAAAAAAAAAAAAAAATAAATAAATAATCCCCCTGTATATTATGTACCGTTTGTTTGGCGAAAATACGCGTGGATCGCGTGTTTTTGGCAACCCTTTGGAAATTCGATTCGTTTGTATTATGAACCGTTTTTATTGTGAAAAATCTCTGGCCGAGAGCCCGTGTCCGAACTGCGGATAACCTCGGAACACCAGGCGGGATAACAACGCGCGCGGTCGAACGGAACCCGGAACGGACGGATTTAAAAACTTGAAAAAATACCGTCGGGGGCGTGGAGACGTCGAGACGAAAAAAACGATGATGACAACCGTAATTGAGTAGTGGCTAGGCCGAAGCCAATTGGACACGCGGTTCAGAGGCGATTCGGTCGGCGCGGGGCGGGATGTTGCGCGCCGCCGGTGTTGTCGGCCGCTGCGCCGCGTTCGACTTGCTACCCCGGCCTCGGCATTTCAGTGATGTGCGCCACTGGATTCACGCGCGGAGCTCGTAAATACGAATAATAATACACCATTGATATCGTCGTTTTCATATGTGTTTGTATTATGCCTGCATTATTATTTTTGTGTAATGTGTAACTGTTGTAAAATATATTCAACTCGAAAACGGTCGTAGAGTAACGGCGACGAAACGCGCATTTATATTTAACAGTAAACCGCGATTTTCCGAGTCGATTATCGCAGGTAGAATCACCGCGGTTACGCGATCGTCGCCTCGAAAATCCAGTTAAAAGTGTTATCATTCTGTACAGATAATGTACGTCGTAACTATTATTATTATTATTACTATTATTATTACTACCGTACGGTGTATTGTGTATGGATTAAAAATCAATTGCGGCGGGAGGGGGACCGGGGGAAACAAACGACTCGCGCATGCGCGGCTCGAGTTTTCGGGGGTAGTTTTAATATAACGCACGGGGGAAGCGGAATGGTAGACGCACGGTGTCGTCGTCTTTGCGGTACTCGATAAAATTGTATTGTAATTAGCGATGTGAATTATTGTACGGCGAACGCGTTTTATTCATTTATTTTTTTTTTTTTTTTTTTTTTTTGCCAAGTAAAATATTAAATGAAAATGCTGACTATCGCGATTCGCCGGTTTTAAACGGATCGTTCGTTTTATCGACGTTTTCAATCACCCGCCGCCCACCATTTGTATACTGTTTCCTCTATTTCCTCTGTTTTTTTTTCTCGTTACACGCGTACGCATACGGACTTTTTTTTTTTAGCATATTTTATTACGTTCGGCGCGTTTCGAGAGGTTTTACGCGCGTACACGTTATCATAATAATACGCGGGTGTTTAGACGACGTGTCTTATTCTTTAAACGCGTTAAATCCACACCGCTAATTAAAATACCGCGGGGAGATGGGTGGAAGAGTACGTCCCCGGAAACGATCGACACCTGCATGTGGGTATACGCTCGGACGCGCGGTGAGTACGCCGTTGTTATCGACGATATCACATTAATATTATCAGGCATACATAATGAAATATCGAATAGCGGAATGCAATCAAAGTACATAATATCGTAGGTATATCGTTGTGTTAATTATTGAAATTGGTCCGTTCGTTATTATTTTTTTTTTTTTTTTGTCGGTCCGCTGCCGAAATTGTCGCTACGCGCGCGCGCCTCAGAGCCGGATTTCAGTAGATCCGAACCCTAAACGGCGTGCGGGGCTCCTCCGACGTTGACCCAGTGGATCGCGGGGGAAAAACAGCGTCACCGACAATCGGTATCGACGTGGTATTTTTAACGTCGTCTTGCGGTTTGGCCGGGGAAACCGGATCGGGTCGGTTGTTGAAAATGTGAAAATGTGTATTTTATGGCCGTACGCGGGGAGAAAAATGCGAAACATCGAAGACGTGACATTGTATAAAATTCTCTCTCTACTCGTCAATTTTTCTGTCATCGATTTCGATTTTCGCACGGATATGCCCCGTAAACGGAAATTCCCAGTTTAAACGGTCGTGTTCGCAGGGGTCCGGGATCTTTGCGCGTTTAAAACCCGCCGAAAAGAGCCCTAGAAAATAACAAAAAAAAAAAAAAAGGCAGACCGGGTTTAAAAGCTTTCCTCTAGCTCACGCAGGGGAAGGGCATTGTATTTTACGCGTCGTCGACTGTTTTCGCTTTTTTTTTCTTTTACGCGCTTTTTTCGGGTTTTTTTTAAAAAAAAAGTTTTCAGCCGATCTTTTTGTAGGTTTTAAGCGCGCCGGGTATATATATAAAAAGTGTAGACGGTATAAAGGGCAGACGATAAAAGTACATTTTATCAAATATATATTATTATTATTATTATATAGTAGCTAAAAGTTAAATATCATATGAATACTGTACCTAAAAACATTGTCGTGGTAGTAGTCGTAGTAGTGATATATACGGTAGAGTAGTGTAGCTGATTATAATAATAATATATGTATTATATTATATAGTGTCACGAGCTTGTATAGAGTTGGTTTTTTTTTTTGTGGTTTTTTTTTGTTTTTATTTTTGGTTGTTTTTTGTGGTTTTGGTGTGTTCAATGCGATTTGGACACTGACCTGTGTTGTTGCAGGCTGTCCTGCCTCTTGAACGACTTGTAGCACATCTCGCACCGGTAGTTGACGGTGGGCAGGTGATTGCGTTCGTGTATGAGCAGCGAATAGTGTTTGTTGAACGTCCGGTTACAGTATTTGCACACAAACTCCATTTTGACCCGCTTGGGCCGGAGCCGGTGGTTCTCCGAGTCGAGCTGTATTACCGCGTACATGGTCGGGCCGGTGTGTTTTCGGCCGGTGCTCCGCGAGCTGATTGCGACGGCGGCGGACGCGCTACGCACGCGCCCGGTGTTTCGCTTGGATATCGCGGGTGACGGCGTCGGCCCACGCGGCTCCGCGAGAACTCCGCCGGAGTAGCGAACGGGGGGGAAGCCGAACAAAAAAACCAAACAAAACCAAAACGCCCCCCCCGACGGAAACTTTATTTCCGTGCGCGACGGGAAGGCGGCGGCGGCAGCGGCGGCGGCGGCGGCGGCGTAACGAGTGCGGCGGCGACGACAGGACGCGGTAGTCCCGACGAGAGAGCTGCTGCGACGACCACTGTTGGCTCGGCACCGGTCGTACGTTCCGTACGGTCGTGCGATACGGTCGTTTATATTATTTTTTTTTATTTTGTGCCTGCGAAAAAAAGAAAGACAAAAAAAAATGAATAAAAAAAAAAAACCATGAAAAACGAAAGTCATTGTATTAGTTATATTGCAATACGCGCATGTAACCGTATAAAGACGCGCCGGATAATAAATAACGCGTTATTGTAAAAAATATCGCGATATTATTATTATTATCACGACGATATCGGTGGTTTTATTTTTTTTTTTTGTATTTCGGTTGTCGTCGTTCGCCCGATTCGATATTACAATATCGGCAAATGAAACGGCGGACGGGTGGGGAGAGGGGCGGTAGAAGGGTCGGGTATGGAGGGGGGGAAAGGGAAAAAACCGCCGTCGTATATCACAAAACCGAACGTGACTACTATGACACACGCAACGGCGCGAAACAATAGAGGTGTCGTCGTCCAAGGATTTTAAGTAGGCGTTTGGCGAAATCGGACCGGTGGGCCGCGCCACCGGTGACGGCGACGGTCGCCTCACCGCCTACCCGAACGCCGGGGCCGGCTACGTTATAAACGCGCGGCGGTGACCGACTTGTTGCGGCCCGGGAGAAATTCAAGGCGCACCGCCGCCACGGCCCAGTCCGCACGATACCGCCGGGAATCGTGACGCGGCGCCGTAACGGACCCGACCCCCGGGATTCCCCGCCCTCCTAGTACCGTCACGGGGACACGGGCGCCCGCGGTAAATCCACCGGGGAGCGGCACGATAAAATCGAACGCCAAAAAATACTCGAAATAAAATTATATTTGAAATTTTGAAGTCCGGGTGGAGAGGGCCAGACGGAGCCACCGTCTTGCCCGTGCGCGGCGAGGGCTCGATTCCGCTCTTTTCAGGTTATTTACGCGTTTAACGCGATCCCCGTTATTATTATCGGAACGACTTTATTCTCCCGGTCGCAGAGTCGAAAAGTAGGTACACGGTCACGCGGAGTTTTTTTTTTTGCGGTCACGTGGCGGGCGTTTTCTTTTTTTCAGATTAAAAGAGAGCGTGAAAAAACAACGATTGAAACGAGAAAAACGTCCGTACGTCACCGCGATTCACGAACAATGAAATATTGGCGAAACGGCCGAAACGGAAACTCGAAATTTTTACCGTCCTCCGTAATAAAGATAAGATAAAGACGTTATCGCGCGATTGACTGCCTAACAATAGAACGGTCGACAATTTAATAAATCGTATCGATCGCTATAAAAACCCCAACTAAAACGGATTTCGCGAAAACGACGAGCAATAATATCGTTTTATTATTTAACTCGTTCGAAAGCGTATTTTATTCTGTAAACCGCCGTTCAAACTGTCGGACCGTGTGACATAAACGGACGCTCGAAACGGCGAAAGCGAGCGGTGGACAAGCGCGTACCGGGATAGGTGCCGGAAATCTCCCGGTGGGTCCTCCCATTCTCGTGTAGGCCCTTGATTTATGCACGTTTTCCTATTGCCATTTCTCTAAATCACACCTATTGCAGACCGCTACTCGATGAATGTTTACAAGTAGGCCCTGTTTGATAATTTCCCAACGCGAGACCAGAACCCAATGGGCGCCTGACGGGGGATTCGTTTATCCGGACGTCGGTCGCGCGCAGCAAATTGAATTGTCATTATTACCGTAGCCCTAAGCCGAGAGACGGCGACAAGAGACCGCGGCCGGAACGGAATGAGATTACGGACTACGTGCCGTCGCGGTCGCCGTCGAACGATACGCCACCGGCGGGTGTCCGAGAGAGTCCAACGCGCGACGGCGGCGGCGTGTCACCGTGCGGACGGCCGCGGACGTTGTGCGTGACCGGCGGCGGCAGCGGCGGCGGCGGCGGCGCCGGCTGGGTGGCGAACGCGGTAAAAAGGGGTATAGGCGGAGTCCGGTAGCCGCGCGGCTCGGAACAACACCGGTAGCCGCGTCGGCGGCCGCCATTAATTCGTCCCCTCCACGCCGCGGTCGCCGTCACTGACGCCGTGCGCGGCTACCGCGGTTACGCGGCCGCGGTTCGGTCGTTAAACACCGGTAGTCCATTACGGTTATTTTACGTTTCGAGCGCACCAACCGCGAACGGCCGCGCGCGACGCACCGTCGCGCCGCAACCCGTTCGGAAAATACATCGCGAATACACGACCCGCCGTCACGCGATAATATATTTTATGATAATGCGTATTTGTAATATCGTACGGATATATGAATATTTATTTATTTATTTTTTTTTTTCTACAATATACAAACGAGCGTACGCGATAATGTTGCGATAGCTTTAAACATAATATTTCCACCGCTTTAATGGGCATTTGTTTAATTTTGTTTTTTCGCCGATTGTTTCCGGCAAAAGTCGCGCGGCTCCGGACGAAGAAAAAACAATATTGAATTGCCGTATGACCCGGCGTATGCCGTAAGAGCGTCGGGAAAAACGTAGGAAAAAAAAAATGTAAAAAAAGAATGAAAAAAAATAACGTAATACTCACAGAAATCACGGGCGCAGTACCGGTCGACGCGGACGGAGCGGATATAATATAATATATTGTATAAATATATATATTTTTTCTTTCGTCGTTCGGCGCGGGTGTTTCGTATTAAATACACGCCTGGATGCGGCGTGTCCGGCGATAACGAATATCAACGGTATCGTGGTCGACGGCGTCGTGTGTACTGTGCACGCAGTGGAACAGCGGCGGTCGTGTGTGTATATTATTATGTTGCGCGTTTCGATACCGTACGGGCATAGAATAATAATAATAATATAATAATAATAATAACAATAATAATAATAAAATATTATAATATTGTTGTACGACGACCGTGCGGCGACGACGACGACGACCGCGGTAAGTGGTGATTATTGCGGAACTCACTGGACTGTAGCACACGAAAGTCAGAAGCGGTCTCTCTGCGCGGCGGCGGCGGCAGCGGCGGCGGTCGTATGTGTGCGTGCGTGCGCCGCTCCTGTGCGTGTGTATGTGCGTGTGCGCGCGCGCGCGCGCGCGTGTGTGTGTGTGTGTGTGTGTGCGTGTGTACGGCAACCGGGCGCGGCGCGCAGCGGCGGCGGCGTTCGTATGGTACCTGTACTATATGTATAACAGTAATAACGTGCGCGTGTATGCCGACATTGGACGGCCGCGTGTGGTAGTCGGCGCGACGACGACGACGGTGTACCGGATCGCGTCGGCGGAGCGCGCGCGCGCGCCCGGCTCCGGGTGCGCTACCCGTACGCGGCGGCCGCGCGCGTATACCGGCCGGCGGGTGCAGGATGGGCGCGCGCGACCGCGGCCGGGGACCCAATGGGCGCCGTGGGAAACGCACGGAAGCCGGCGCAGGCCACGCCCGTCGGCTTTCTGGTTGGCCACTGGGCGCGCCGCGCTCCGCCGCCGCCGCCGCCGCGTACCCGCACGCTCGTCGCGGCGACCGTGTGACGGCGCGGCGGCCCAAAGACGAGACCGCTTGATTGTTTCTTCTCCCCCCGTGCCGCCTACGCCCCGTGCCCCGCGCGCGTATATCGTGTAATACCTACGCGCGCATAATAATATAAACGCCGGTTGTATCGCCTCCGACGGAGACGACGGCGCGTTCTCGGACGCCGCCGCCGTCACCGCAACGGTGGCCGACCGGTTTTTCCCGGGGCGGCTACTAAAAAGGTTCCCGCGATTACGGCGACGGCGACGGGCGCAGTAATAATAATAATAATAATAATAATATTACAATATGCACGAAACGCAACAACGTAAACTCCGAAAACGCGGGGCCGCGCCGTAATAATAATAATAATAACGACGACGACGACGATAGACGCGCCGGACAAATTATACAGGTGTACGGGGGGGGGGGGGGTACGGTCGCACAGTTACCGCGGCGTCGGCGGCGCTGGCACCGCCGTTACACAATACGCGCCGGTACGTGCGCGAACGACGCCGTCGTCGCTCGCGATGTCGCGGTACAAATCACATCGCGGTACGATCCCGCGCGTTTACAATTATTATTATTGTTCCGTTCGTTTTTTTTTTTTTTTTTAATTTTCTCGCCGTCGGACGTCACATAACGACGCGCGCGATTTATCACCGTAAACGGAACAGCCGGCGTAATAGTGCGGCGATGCGTTTGCGCCGTCGCGCGGTTTACCACAATATTCGATTGCCGAACGTCTGCCGGCGCGACAATGCCCGACAGCAGTCGTAACTCGCGCGTACCGGACAACGACCGCCCGTGTACCGCGACCGACCGCGCGCGAATCGTCGGCGTGTAAGAAAAAATAAAATTAGTATAGATTTTTCCGAAACCGAAGCCCGGGCCGGGGTGCGCAGCCGATTCTCACTGTCCCTCCTTACCCTACGCCCCCCGCCACCCAATGTATAATGTATGCTGTGCCGTATGGGTATTATTAATATCGACGGTGTTTTGTTGTTTTCGCTATCGACAAAAATAAAATTTAAAAAAAAATTAGGAACGTATACCGACGTACAAGGACGTATCTAAATACGTTAAGTTCGTGGCGTATTGAAAGTAATGAAATGTACTGAAATGTCCGCGCGCCGTTTAATAATGTTATTGAATCAACACTGATATGTTAAAAGGGCGTATACCTGGTCCGTCACCCTGGCACCCGCACTTTGGAATTTCAAAACCGTTCCAACGCCATTATTTTGTAAGAGACCTGTAATTATTTGTAACCTTTATTTTCGAATTTCCAACCCCTCCCAAACCCGAGAAGAACAATTTTTTATTTTCCGGCTACTGGAACGACGTCCTGGCGCCCGCATCGTCTTAGACTTGTCCGATCGAAACAAAACCCGTTGTCGCCATTGTTTAGTATGGAATTCGTAACTGAATGGAACCTTAGTTTAAGAGAAACTTATAGGCTTATAAACTTATAAACTTATAAAGGACCTTTAAGGCCTTTTACTACCTTTACTTACTTTACAATGTCATTTTTGTCCCTACCAATCTGTCAAACAACGACTAACGCCTGATGGTATTCGGTTACATTTAGCCACGGCTTTGGATGCTAAATTAAGTATCCAAATCAATGATTTTAGTTGACAATCCAAAAGACGATGCGGGTGCAGGACGACGTCGTTCCAGCACCCGGAAAATAAAAAAAGTGTTTTTCTCGGGTATGGGGGATGGGGGTTGGAAATTCGGAAACAAAGGTTACAAATAATTACAAATTCCTTACAAAACAATGGCGTAGGTTTGGTTTTAAAATTCCAAAGTGCGGGTGCCAGGATGACGGATCTGCGTGTACCTACCGCATACAATGCATATATTGTAGACGTTGATTACAAGGACTTATTTTATTGTTTTCCGCGATAGCATCATATTAAAAACTGTTTGGTTGTTTTTTCATTTTTTTTTTTTTTTTTTGCTCCCCGAAAGCCAAGGACCGTCGGTTGAGAACCACTGGTATTGAACGCGGGGTAATGAGTGCATGCGTATAAATATAGTATACCCGCTCGATACGTTGGAAATTTCGACACGTTATTTTCGTAATCGTTACGCAATTCATACGATAATATTAGTGTGTCCGATTCGACCCGCAGAAAACGCATCCAATCGATTATTGTTATACGTGTGCGTGTGTGTGTGTGTGTACCTGGTTTTTTCGCCGTTAGTGTATTTCTACTCGATATCGCGTTCGTATTATTATTATTATTATTATTATTATACACTCGCGCGTCAAACGATATGATATTAATATTATCAAACGCTATATTGTCGTTATGCCGCAATAAGCAAGAGAAAAATCGATTTTATCCCTGCGCGACGACCGGCGCGATTCGATAATTATTGTTACTGCGTATTACAACCAATATAAACGTATGGCCCGCAGACGTGTCCCGCGATACTAGAGGGGATTGTCCCTCCTCTTCTATTCAAACTGGAACGTGTCCCGGGCGGAAGTGACGAGCGTCGTACGAAAGTGTGTCCGAAATTACGGACAAGATGGGGAGGAGGGTGTCTAACTGTTTTATTCCTTTTTTCTTTTTCGGTTTTAGATTTTAAAAAGACGTCCTAGGATAATGGGAACGGGCGCAGTCGCTGTTTGTCACGGATAATTTAATGTATACCTATAAGCAACGATAAACCATTGCTCACGGAAAAAATGGTTCTGAGCGGAGTTCAGCTGACAATGATGCATTGTCAACAGTATACATATATATATATATATATATATGTCATTTTATAGTAAAATAATTAAATTTCCCGTTATTCCTACATTTTTTTCCGGTTTTTCACATTTGCTGGGAAATCTCTTGGAAAAATCGAAAAGTGACCTCTTCACAGTGACCTCCCCATGCCGATTTCTTTTCAAAAAAGGTGCTACACTTAGAAATCTGAGCATGTATTTTGGTAGAAAAATTGTAAAAAAAAAAAAAATAATAAACATCTTTGTAAAATCCCATAAGCTTCTTCGCTTCACTCAGAATCTAAATTTTAAAAATGTGTAGGTACTTAATGTACATTAAAACCTTAGTGGGTATAAGTTTAAGAAATACGCAGCAGCTGCAGAACCGTAGCGGGGAAATCGTGTCACGTCAATTTTTTACCCGTGTATTTTTAATGGCACGAACCGTAATATCGGTTTGTTATGAACCTTCCGCAATTATTACATTTTATCATTTTGTTCGTTATCGGAATACCTAAATTCGAGTCTGCGCGTGTATAGTGCATAACAATAATGTTCGATACATTTTTCGGTTTTTGTATTATGTATAATTATATGGTATTAGTGTTTCGCGAAAATTAATTTGAAAATTTTAAAATTTTAAAATTAAGAATAATTATATTATTTCATTGATAAGCGATGTACAACACAATTACAATAATTACGTCCGCACATTCGATATAAAAATCCTAACGAGAAAGAAAAACTCCCCATCCGACTTGATTGTTATGTATAGAAACATATCACCATCATATTGATTATTTTATTGTTGTGACACAAAACGACGATATTCAGTTAAATCCGTATCGATGTTTGATAATAATATAATAATCGCCGTGTTATAAAAAAAAATTAATTTTTAGATAACAGTTTGAAATTACTGGGTTTCCTCGGAAGAGGGGGAGGGGGTCACAATATTATCGCATAAAATAAAGATTTCCGTCTAATGGGGTTAATTGCCATGGGTTATGCGGAGTGAAATATCGGTAAGGGTCGAATTTCGTTCCGAGTGTGGTTGATAACGCACGGTGAAATCTCCAAATCACCAACATATGATGCCTACACAAAGTATAATAATATAATATTATATTCGGTCAATATAGCCAATATAATAATATTATATAGGTACTTACATATCAATACAACTTCGAATAATTCGGAAATATTACAAAAATCAAATACGCGTATTATAACTAATGATAGGCTTGTACGATTCGTCAAATGCAGCAGGGCGTACTGGGATGGGATTACTGCACAATTCGTTATCGATGTTATTGTCTTGTTGATATGAAATATTATGAACTTTTGATAATGTATAAACCGACAGTACGCATTTATTTTTATAAATTCCGCGTTTTCGATTAGCTGCGGTCGAATTCGCGACGGTATTATAACAGCACGCGACGAGTTTTTATCATTTCGCGTCGGATATCTTACGTGGGTATATATATATAGATAGATATAAGAAGTACCTGCGTCAAATATTTGTACATTTGACCGAGGTCGAATGTTTTTTGTCCATTCCCCCACCCCGCCTAGGTATGTAAGCTGACGACTAATGTGACTTCGTCATATTATTATGGCAACAATAATTGCATCAAATATCAATGTAAATGTCATTTAAAGTAACTTTAAAATTCTTGTATTATGTTCTCAATTTTAAGCGAGTACACTGCATAGTATACGAATTTGTCTTAAATAGATACATAACACATAT